CAAAAAAAACACAAATAATCAAAATATTCATGAGGTTCCAAATATTAAGAAATTGCGTACGTTTCTCCAATATCAGATATGCATGCCAAAGTCAGGAGAATGGAATACATGCAGAAAAATGGAACAGAACCATTTATCAATATATGCCTTTATAAACGATAGATCCACTAGAAGTAAACATCAGAGTTATGTACCTCTCCATCTGGTGAAAAACTCAACGCTGATATTGCTGTAGCCATCTTTGTTTTTGATGCTCCTTCAAGAAATGTTGGAAGACCTAGGGGTCCACTTGCATCCAAAACCTTAATTTTTGTCACACTACAATTAAACGAGCACTATGTCAACATAATTTGAAAGAAAAATACGAAGGCTCTTGAAGAAGTTATAATTTGTTAAATATCAGAACAAACAAAATGATCCAATAAATCCTACACGCACGCCGAAAGCTTATGAAATTGTCATTCTGAACTTCTAGACTTTCAGTGAGGAAAAGTCTCAAATCTGCAAGTTCTCCTCAGTGGCAAAGCATTGTGCATTTAAATTATTTTTACGTTATAAAATATCACAAAGAAAACAGCAGCATACCATATTTGAGAAACCAGATATGCATTTAAAAATAGGAAGTATCAACACGAAAGACAACCATGAAAAAAGAGAAGAATAAATGCAGTTTTAAATGGGTGGATGAGTAAATAGCAAAGGTTGTGGATACGGTGACATGTTAAGGTGTCTTAGCAAAAAATTAGGAAATATCTTTCACCACGCACTGCATGCCCAAAAGAAAGCAGGTAGAGAAAGACAATGGATATTCATAATTAGTTTATTGTTGTCTCGTTACATAAGATTGTCTAAACTACTAACAAAGTAAATGGTAATAGATTTAATTTACTAATAAAGTTAATGGTAATAGACTAAATCTTTCTCCTACTTAATTTGGTATATGGTTACTGAATCAAAGTCAAATCAAATATGTATTGAGGTAGTAGTGGTTGCTGACTTGAATAGCGGCATTAGAAGTTCAAACCAATCAATAATATTATCATTTATCTCAAAAGAATATTATTTCATGGAATTTGCATACCTTTCAATATCATATACTCGAATAGTAACACTGTGAATGTCTCCGATAGCGTCTCCAACAGCCAATCTTGTAGATGATTCATTCATTCCAACCATTGGAAATACACGTGTAATTTCCCTTAACGCGGTCATGGAGCTGCTATGGCAAGCTTTACGCATGACCAAGTTCCCAGGGTCCATAGTCTGTAAAACATAGCCGACAACCTGCAAATATGCCAAATGTTAGACTGAATAAACCATTCTTCTTTAAGTGGGTGAGTTTCTTACTGATGTACCAAAGACATATTCACAGGATGAAAAGTTCTCAGCTATAATCACGGGGTGGACAGGAAACATTTAATCAATGCTCTTTGAAAATAGAGCATGACGAGAAAAATACAAAGAACTGTATTTATTTAAGACATTTAATAAAATTTTTCTTTCTGTATATAGCATTTCATTATATGATACTTATGATTTAGCTGCAGTGTGCTTCCAATTTATAACCATAAACATAAATGAGCAGACAGTGAGTCAAACACAAGCAGTTACACTAAAAGCCAATATAACTAACTGTGTACAACAGTATGAAACATCATCTCATATAAACAAAGTGCACTAATAAATAGCACGCATCATTGTATTTATCTGTCTCATCTCAAATGATTTCCTATTTACTATGCCCCTCAATCTAATGGGCGATATTTCATGTTAGCCATTCAATATATGCGTCCTACTGAAGAAAAATTAACCGTAGGAAAAAGAAAGATATAGGAATGCTAAGTAGGGTTACATACATGTTACACATTACGCAAATAGAAAGTCCAAAACAATGATCTTCAATTAATAACGTGTTGAAGCTTAAAAAATCATCCACAATATATGACCAAATACAAAAGTTAAAATGAAAAGAAATCCTACTTCCTTTGTATGAACTGAAAAGACAAACCTTATCAAGGTAAGGAGGCAAGGACTTTGGAGAACCACGCACCACCCGGATCAGAGTTTTAAGTGATACTCGATGAACAGGAGAATCTGAGGAAGTAGCCCAAATTTGGCCTTCAATCACATTTAGAAATCCCGGTATATCAGCCATTGCTAAACTTGGCAGAAGAATTTCAATCAAAGCCTCACGCATATTAACAGCTAGCGCTGGCTTATCTGTTGCATTATTAGCCGGATTACTGGTTAGACATTCAATCTGGAAAAATATATCCCCAACTAGGTGGGGTATTTCGGGGCCGAGATATGTTTTCCATGTGCTTTCCATTCCTTCAGCTAGAAGCTCTGCGGCAGTACAACTATATCGATCATTCATGGACATAACTAACTTGAGTAGGTGGTCTACAACCAACTTGGCAAGATCATCTTTCACTATGCTGGGATACCAAACAACTAATGCTGCTGCAACAAGGATATGAGAAGCCATTGCATCCTGGTTTGTCCCCTCAATCCAAGAGATCCACTCATGAATTTCAAAAGATTCCAGCCACAAGACCATGCTAGATTTCTGAGCCCCAACAGAACTAGCAAATCCTATGGGCCTTTCAGAGTCCATGTCAATATTCATAGAGATATGCCCGTTATTTGATGGGCCATGTTCTTCCATTATGTTCAAAGCACCCTCTGGTCTGTTTTTCTGACCACAAAGGGAACGTGGAATAGCACGTGGTGCAGCACAATGGAACAATGAACGTGCAGCCATGCGCACATGTTCACTAGGATCTTGCCAAAAGCTCACTAACAGCTGTAAACATTGTAGATTTTCTATTAGCTTCATGAACCTTGACGACAATATGTTATAAAATTTTAAATAAACTAGTTCTTTACAATCTTATGCAACATCAACAATATTCATAAGGTGCACAAATAAACTTATTAAGATGAAAATGCAAGTCTCAACAACCAAGAGATATTTGGAACATATAATCATAACAAGGGAAATAACTGACACCTTAGCCATCATAAAATTGCATTATTGAAGTGTAAATGATGTCAAGAGTCCTTTGATCACCCCAATGCCATCATAAAATAACTGACACCTTAGCCATCAGAAAAGTCTCGAGTCTATTTGAAGTGTAAATGATGTCAAGAGTCCTTTGATCACCCCAATGCCATCAGTTACAAATTGTACTTTGTTTCATTATTGAAGCCTTCCTTTTTCTAAAATGTACAAAAAGAAAACATCATAACGTGGATGAAGATAAGAGTCCAAATGGGTCACTACACTATGACTTAACAACCATCACATTAAGTTTCCATCTACTACAACAAAATAATATAAAAAACCAAAACAGATACATCATCCATAGTATTTGGGCTCAGCTACACCAGTCTTTTCCTAAATGCAGTTATTTAGAACTCGAATTCACTTGCTGTTAATTAGAAAGCACCATATCCTCTTTTCTTGCGTCAATCATTGGTCATTATGCTTCCTAATATTTGCAAACTGCTGTTTGCATGGGGTCATAAGCTGATATGTCTCGAACACATATTATCATAAGCGCTAGAACTTCAGGTTCAACTCCAGTTGAGTATACTTCTTTAGCGTTCGAATCGTAGATCGGAACAATAAGCTGGTGAGTCCTTACTGTAATCAATTGCTCTGTTTCGGGAGGTTGAGCCAAGGATACTGACAATGCTGCCAACGCGTCTGCATATGCGTTTTGGAGACGCGGAACGTACTCGATGAAAAATTCTTCAAACGAACTTGCCATCTCAATAGCCATAATAGACAACAAACAACATGTGCGTGTACATTTGCATGTGCATAGAGAAATTGGGATTAGAATTTTATATAAGGAAATTTCCTGGTAGGACACATCTAAAAATCAATTGCGCTTCACTTCTACATCATGCTCTGGCCATTTACTATGATATATAGTCTATGTATACAGGTAAACCATAAAACGAGACGCTTTGTTATCCATGATCTAGTGGTCACATTTGTCCAATCTCTAAAAGATAGTTTGTTTTGTAACTACTACACACACAGGCAAGGAGGGTTTAAATCATATGTTCCTTCTCAATTATGTATGTTTTACGGCAAGGAAGGCACTCCTGAGTGGTGTGGGTGACTTATGAGAATACCCATTATGGAGTTTTCATAGAAAATCTCACCATGGAGCTGTCATTTCAAATTTCCATGCATGTAGAAAAAGGACCAATAAGTCTAGTTTTTATCAAAATAAGAATTTCGTAAATCCATGACAAACCATCTTTCAATGATTTCTTGTTTATCTTGATTAACAAATCCAACGTGGTCTACATAAAAATATCAAGTAGGTTAAAACGTTTTTACCATGCATTAGATGATATACTTATCCTACACCTCAACTGTGTTTTAGTTCAAGTAGCGATAAAAAGAAAGGAAGTTTTGAAGCAAGTTATTTCTCGTTTAGAGGGTAATTTGACATGTTAAAAAATGCATATGCGGATCATTCATCATATAGCACATTATGAAGTCCTTACAAAAGTTCTCACCATGCTCATTTAAAAGCTTCCAATTGTACGATAATGCATCTATGTATATAAAAAATGGATAACTGTCGTTTAGTTAGGAAAATCAACTATCAACAAATGGGAGTAGTAGTGTGATTCACCCTACTAAGAAATATGTGGACCTCCGCCCACCTATAAGCAATATGGAGGAACTTAGTACCAAGCACAAATTTTTGTGCTTGGTAGTGAGGCGGTTTATTGTCATCCACTCATTTAAATAAGGGACCACATTCACATGGAGTGAAGAGTGGATGAGAATGAGATACTTCACTACCAAGCACAATTTATGCTTAGTACCAAGTTCCTACACACACAGCATTGTGTAGTTCCAACTCACATTGTTAGAACACTCTTTAATAAAAACATAGATGCAACACACACACACAGCATTGTGTAGTTCCAACTCCTATTGTTGGAACACTCTTTAATAGAAACATAGATGCAACTCTATTTTTAACCTATTTTATTGTTACAACATCCAACTCAACATCTCTAACAAATTTTGGATAGTTAAAACAATGAACATAAAGAAGTGATGAAACCACTTGATTTCTCGTTCATAGACTAATTTGGATGCGTTAAATAGGATAAATGGTGTCGCTAAGCCATGAGCTGAACCATTATGGAGTTCTCACAACACATAAGTATGGGATTCTCATGTGAAAAGTTCCAACGTAAATATATATGTACGTGTGTTAACACAGGCACCTATTCTATATGTGTTAACAGAAGCACCCATGTCTGTGTGCATTTATGTATGTGTCTGTGTTTATATATATATATATATATATATATATATGTGTGTGTGTGTGTGTGTGTGTGTGTGTGTGCACGCGCGCATATGCGTGGTCAAATAAAATTTAGGATAAATATGGGGACAGTTAAACAAATTCCCCCTATCACAATGAACAAAGGTTCATTTTTTTGGGATCTTATATTTCCAGCAGGCACAAGATCAAATCGTTAAGTATCATCTATGTTGAACCAAACGAACCTTCGAATAATGGTCTATCATAGTTTTATGCTTTAAATTTTAGAGAAAACATATATCGACAAGAATATAATGATATTGAGCTTGTAGACATTTTGGCTATAAACTTGAGATTTGATTCTGACATTTGATTTGGATTTTAGTTTGAAGGACATTTCAGCCTATAAGATCAACATATTTAATTTTGACTTTGGTCCATAAGTTTAACATTTAATTTTGATGTTTAGTTTAAAGAGCTTTCAATCAAAATCTTCTGATGTTTGAATTTAAACTAAGTTTAAAGACATTTCGAGCAAAATCCTTTGATATTTGAATTATAACTTTAGTTTAAAGACATTTCAAACAATTCGCCAACTCAAATGAGTTACAATTTGAGAGAAAAAATGATTTTCAGAAAAAACACACCCAGAAAAGGTACCTGAATTGCAATTGAGAATTCTTTTACCACAATTGATCGTTGAATTTGAATCTTGCAAAGAGTTGTAAGCTAAGGCATGGTCGATTTGGGTAAGGATCTTGAAGCTTCACTGGTAATTAGTAGGCAATGGCGATGGTGATAATTCTGGGTCCGGATAGGTTTACTGGATATTTATATAGGGGCTATTAGAGTATTATTCACCCATGTCTGTGTGCATTTATGTATGTGTGTGTGTGTATATATATATATATATATATATATATATGTGTGTGTGTGTGTGTGTGTGTGTGTGTGTGCACGCGCGCATATGCGTGGTCAAATAAAATTTAGGATAAATATGGGGACAGTTAAACAAATTCCCCCTATCACAATGAACAAAGGTTCATTTTTTTGGGATCTTATATTTCCAGCAGGCACAAGATCAAATCGTTAAGTATCATCTATGTTGAACCAAACGAACCTTCGAATAATGGTCTATCATAGTTTTATGCTTTAAATTTTAGAGAAAACATATATCGACAAGAATATAATGATATTGAGCTTGTAGACATTTTGGCTATAAACTTGAGATTTGATTCTGACATTTGATTTGGATTTTAGTTTGAAGGACATTTCAGCCTATAAGATCAACATATTTAATTTTGACTTTGGTCCATAAGTTTAACATTTAATTTTGATGTTTAGTTTAAAGAGCTTTCAATCAAAATCTTCTGATGTTTGAATTTAAACTAAGTTTAAAGACATTTCGAGCAAAATCCTTTGATATTTGAATTATAACTTTAGTTTAAAGACATTTCAAACAATTCGCCAACTCAAATGAGTTACAATTTGAGAGAAAAAATGATTTTCAGAAAAAACACACCCAGAAAAGGTACCTGAATTGCAATTGAGAATTCTTTTACCACAATTGATCGTTGAATTTGAATCTTGCAAAGAGTTGTAAGCTAAGGCATGGTCGATTTGGGTAAGGATCTTGAAGCTTCACTGGTAATTAGTAGGCAATGGCGATGGTGATAATTCTGGGTCCGGATAGGTTTACTGGATATTTATATAGGGGCTATTAGAGTATTATTGGCGCCAATGTTTATCTAGCTATTTAATATTTTTTTAGAGAGGGTCCACTCCCTCAAGGTTTCACATCTGTGTAGCTTGTTCTGCTTCAAAAAAGGTGGCTTACGCTTTCCATTTCGTTGATCTCCGCTCTATTAACTTGTGCAATTTTTCTTATAAAATTATCACCAAAATTATATGCACAAGGTTTCTAAGGTTCCACCCATCTTTAATTTTACCCGAACAAACTGGTTTTTTTCTCGGGAAGGAGTATTCATGAAAATATATGTTTGACTCATAAGATGGTTCATCATATTGACAAGAAATGCCACAGCGAAAACTTTATTTTAAAGTAGATATGGCATAAGCATATGACCACCTAAAGTGATCTTTATTTATTTGTCTTTCGCAGATTCAGATTTCAAAAGTTTTTGTATATACTGTCATTTAGAGAATGTTGGCACACGCCACTCACAAATTGACACCGATCGTTGGGCACCAATAGGCGACATATGTGAAAGTGTAGCTTATGGAAGCATCACTAAACACTGTGATCAGATCTCTTTTTCATTTGAAAACCAATCAATCACTGGGCAATGTCGCAACACCAAAAAAACATGTTCGAACTAAAGAGAACAACAATATATACCACAGAAAAAATAGATCAAGAAACAAAGATATGAGATTTACGTGGTTCCGTGATTGTCTACATCCATTGGAAGAGAATTTGAGTCTTCTTTTATTCTAGAGATTACAAGACAATATTCTTGTGATCTAGATAGATCCC